CACAATGTGTGTTTTTCATCCGCCCATTTGTCATCTCATCAAGTAGTGCACACGCCAATGCAATGTTACATTTGTAGCAACTGTAATAGGATCTTCAGCAGTGGTAATGATTATGACAAACACATTAAAACACATTATAGACCCAAAACTTTTAAATGTGTCAAATGTGAACAATATTTTACAAGCAGGGATGGTCTTAACAAACACATGAGGACACATAATTCTCGTCAGATGTATTAATGTGATCTTTGTGATTTCAAATCAATTTCAGATACGATGTTTGCAGCCCATTGCAGAACTCATTTAATCACAAAACCCTCTGAAGCAACAAACCGAAATGGATCAGAATTGTGTGATGTATGTCATTATGTGTTTAAATCAACAGCACACTTGTCCATGCATAAATTAGTACACACTCCCTTGAAATGCTACATTTGCACCATGTGTAACAGGGGATATGACAATGATTACGATACGCACATTAGAACACATTTTAAATTCAGACCGTTCCACTGTGAAATATGTGAGAAATCATATACAATGAGAAAGTGTCTTGAAGTTCACATAAGGATACATACTGGAGAATTCTATTACACATGCGACAAGTGTGACTTCACATCGAACACAAGCAGCAGTTTTGCACAACATAAGAAAAGACAACACTCCAGCACAAATCCGTTTAAATGTGATACCTGTGACTACGCAGCTGTTGGCAAATCTTCTTTAACTAGGCATTTAATAACTCACACAGGGGAGAAGCCATATTGTTGTGGTCAATGTGAGTACAGGTGCAATAAGCTTGTTAACTTAAACAAACACAAGAAACAAATGCACAGCATGTGATTGTGTTATAATATTATGGCACATCAATAATATACAAACATTTGTACTAAGTTTATTTTTTATTGAGTGCTACATGATGGATTTTATAATCAATAAGTTTCTGCTAAGCAATAAACTAAATCGCCTCCATTAAAAAAACATAAAAGACCCCTGTTATGCAGAAAAAAGCAGGAACATTTCTTTAGTTATAATTGATTTTACTTTCTGATTTAGTATTGCCTTTTACAAACTGTAAATTTTCTGCATATAAATGTATTATCTATTCACATTGCCTGATGGTTTACTATTTATTGTTAACCATTATTTTATTAAGCAAAGATCAATTACTTTTTTTAACTAGGTTTCAAATCTGAATTTAAAAAAAAAACTTACAATAGGTTTATTACAGAAAATGTTACATTCATTAATTTATTATAATGATTTTCACATGACAATGTTACCTCATGGAATGTTATTTGTTATTAGACCTACACGTTGTGAAATAAATAAATTCAATCATTGGTATTTGATTTGTTAAATTTCAATTTAATAACTTATATTTATATAGCAAGAAGCTAAAGGCTTGTAATATTTGTATACCCCGCACAGACGACCTTCATTGGTCGGCTCGTGCAATTTTTAACGGCTCTTACGGGAGCTTGAACATCACAAATGAAATGATTAGAAAGAATGATTAGAATTAAATAATTATTGGGAAACATCAGTGATTATTTTGCGAAAGGCTTTTTTATTTGAAAGTTCTGTAATTGCGTTATTTATTTGCATTGCCATACACAGCTAGCTCTATATTGTGAGCAGCAGCTGTCAATAGACATATTATAAGCATGTTAATTTTGTTTTGTAATTGGATTGTTGTATCATTTGTGAGGCTGTCAAGCACGAAAAGCTGTTTTCGTTTCATACATCTTTTGTTCATGCATGTATCACCTCTTTAAAAAAGCCATGCATTCGAGATCTCCCTTTGTCACCAATGATGGATATCCCTAATAGTACTGTATCACATGAGACAGGAGGATTTATCTCCCCTCTTGGCAGTCATGTCACACAACAACGATCCCGCTGCCTGGCCCGCCTTACCCAACCAACCTCCACCCTCCCCGCTCCACCACTGTCCTTACTTTCAATTTTGTTTACCCCTGTAACTCATCGGCAGAATTTAGCAGGGTGTAAAATTATGTTATTTGAAAGTATTGTAATTGCATTATTTATTGACGTGTCCATACTCGGCATTTTCTTTTTTTGCTAGCAGCAGTTATAAATAGATATATCACTATAAACATGTAAAACAATTTCGGTTTTTTATTTGTATTATTGCATCAGTTTTGAGGCTGTCAAACACGACACGCTCTTTTTATATCAAACATTTGTTATTTATACATGTAATTTATTAATATTAACTTATCTCCTGTGATGATTAAATAAGATGTTACTAGTTTTATACTCGTCTCATGAGACTGGGAGAGATAACTCCCCTTTTAGCAGCCATGTCACGCAACAACAATCGCACTGCCTGACCAGCCTTACCCAACCAACCCCTACCTACCCCTCCCTGTCCCACCACTGTTCTTTTCCTTTAAATTTGTTCACCCATGCATTTTTTCGGCAAATTTAGTAAGTTTTAAAAATCTGTTATTTGAAATCACTGTAACTACATTTGTTGACGCTGCCATACACGGCAACTTCTTTTAGTGTTAACAGCAGTTGCTAATAGTTATATCACTATAAGAACGTAAAGCATCTAAGACTTACACCCAGAGGCGTAGCGAGGGGGGGGACATATGTCCCCGGGCGCGGACCTTAGGGGGGCGCCAAATTGAAAGTTTGAGGGGGGTGCAAATGAAAAGTTCGAGGGGGGGGGGGGGTGCAATTCGAAAATTTGCTCCCGAGGGGGGGCGCCAAATTGAAAGTATGTCCCCGGGCGCCGGGAAGGGTCGCTACGCCTCTGCTTACACCACTAAGCATGATTTTCTTGATACCCCAGGTAAGCATATATCCCCGTGTGACTACACACTGCTATGACCCCGCCCACCTCACCGATACAGTGAAACATTCTGTCGAAACGAAACAGTTTCTGGTTTCTTCTTGGTCCCGGTGCCCGGGGACAAACTTTTCGATTTGCACCCCCTCCCCCCCCTCAAGATTTTGATTTGCACCCCCCCCCCCCCTCAAACTTTCGATTTTCACTCCCCTCAACCTTTCAATTTATTTTTCCAACCCATTTTGTCGCCCCCTATGGTCGGCGCCCGGGGACATGTGTCCCCCCCCCCTCGCTACGCTACTGCCTTCACTGGTCGGCTCGTGCAATTTTTAACGGCTTTTTCGGGAACTTGATTTACTCCAATGAAATGACAGAAAAGAATGATTTGAATTAAATATTTATTGAGAAACATTAGTAATTATTTTACGAAATCTGTTATCTTCGCTTTTTTTTTGTTTAGTTATCTCAAGATAGTTACGAAACATAATAAAGGTGGGTGTCTCAAAGAAAAAAAAATTACTACCTATATCCAATGAACGATGATTTTTCTTTTTTCTCCTACATCTATACTAATTTCAGTAATATACACTTTTAGTGAATATTAATATAAGAGAGAGTGGGTGGGGAGGGATGAGGGAGGAAGAGGATAACACCAGGGTAAAACTCCATTTTAGCGTATTTTATTCTCCGCTTGTCGTTTACCTCCAGTTGAGCGTATTTTATTATAATAACCAAAAACACACCAAAACACTAGGAAAACACGATTTATTTATCTGTATTTTATTGTTGTTTTTCATAAATGAATAAAAATGAATATTTAAAAAACACGACTTATTTATTTGTTTTTGTATTTTTGTTTTAAAAAATGAATAAAAACAACAAAGAGACTGACTGAAATGCTTTGTTCGTTGGTTACAAAAATAGAGATGCACACTTTGTACAAATAAGTGTTCCAATTTCAACTAAACATAATAAAAGTATTAAAAGGCATAAAGGGTCATCCATAAATTACGTCACACTAGTAGGGGGGAGGGGGTCCGTAATTTTGTGACGGTGTGTGATGAGGGAGAGGGGGGGGGGGTTCAGATATTGTGACGTCACACTTTTGCATTATAAAAAAGCAATGTTAGTAAACAAATGTTAGACGTTATTTCGCGTTTTAGAAAACAGTTTTAATAAATTGTAATAGGAGTTGATCAAAATACTCTATTTTGACAGAGTTCAGACAAGATTTTAGAAAAATATCGATGTTTTAAAAAAAATTCAACTGCAGTTTTGAGGGGGGGGGGGGGGGGGTTGTAGGCTGAGGTGTGCCGTTATTTTAGGGGGGGGGGGATCATGGTTTTTGTGACGACGTGTGACGGAGGGGAGGGGGGAAGTAAAAATCGTCAAAAAAGCGTGACGTCATTTATGGATGACCCCTAATAATGCTGCCGAAAGTGGGGCGGGGGTTGGTGGAATTTGGTGAGGGATGGCTTGGAGTGTTAGAAAAAGTGTGACAACTCACGTTGCCATTTTTAAACAGTAGTGTTAGACACTAAATTTCATACGTCATTTCGCATTTTTAAGGCTGTACAGAAATAGACTATTGTAACTAATATTGTTAAAAAATGCAATCGTGATGCATGAATTTAAATAGTAAAACGAACAGCTAAATAATACAAATTTACACATTTATTACAGGGGTCATCCATAAATGACGTCACGCTTTTTAAAAACGATTTTTACCTCCCCCCTCCCCTCCGTCACTTACCGTCACAAAATTGCGGACCCCCCTCTCCCCTGCGAGTGTGACGTCATTTATGGACAACCCCCACACAATTATTTTTTTTTTAAAAGTCAGAAATTTACTCATACAAAAAATCATACTTGATACATAGATCTATATCAAAATATTGGGAAGGATGGTAGATTTACTATGAATTTAAATAACATACAACTCTATAGTAAAATATTATTTTCAGTTTTGGTAAAACTTTTAAATTTAAAAACACAGAGTTTGTACATTTATAGCATAAATACAAAAATATCATACTGAATAATTAACAGTGTATCCGTTTCACCATGAGACAAACGCCTTTAAAAAAAATATTCCTTTTTATTCATTTGTGAAAACAAAAATACAATACAATTAAATAAATCGTGTTTTCCTAATGTTTTGGTGTGTTTCGGTTATTATAATAAAATACGCTCAACTGGAGGTAAACGACAAGTAAGCGGAGAATAAAATACGCTAACTAAAATGGAGTTTTACCTTACTTAATACTTATACTTACTTAGGTCTCTTACTTATCTCTAATCTAGGACTAGATCTAGATCTATCTAGGTAATCTATCGTTTTAGATTTTATTTATTTAGCGTAATCAATTCGGCGGCAGTAGATCTAGATCTAGATTAGTAGTACTAGAATCTGGTAATCTATCGTTTTGGGTACGTAAAATCGCCCGCGGCTATTAATGTACGAAAACGTTACCTCGTTGTCAAGGCTGTAATAGAAGTATATTGTGATATGTTTGTGTCAAATATTATAGATAAATGGATAATAAACCTAAAACAATGGCTAAATATATCAATATAGGCCAGAAATTAACTTTAAACAGCAGTGTCTGCAAGTAAGATTTCCTATATAAACAGCAGCCATTTGTAAAATAGAGTGACTTCTCCCTGAATCTCCCGCTATGTCTATAAAAATAAAACTTTAACAAGATGGCTGCTATAGTAAATGAGCATGGTTGCATCTATTGGAAACATCGCTAGTGTTCATTTATTACTGAAAAGTTTTAATTCAATTGTTTAAAAACAGGTACATAAATGAAACATGGAAACATTTTTGTATTTTTCAAAACATAAATCCTCCTCAAAATGTGAAATAATTATTAAAATGTAAGGAGTCACCTGTTTTTCACATTACTAGTCTCGGGCGATTTTACGTACCTAAAACGATAGATCTAGTAGTTAAGTAATAATAATAAGTAATATAAGTAATCAATGCGAGGGAGAAGAAGTAACTGATGAATAGATCTAGAGTCTAGACAATGTTGACATCATCTAGACTAGATCTAGACTAGTGACTAGACACGAATACTTATAACTTATAATACATAATACTAGATTTAGTAGATTATAATAGAAGATTTAATTAAATTTTAAATAAGTATTAGCCTAAGTACTAGAATCTAGGCCCCCTAAAAATACTATAGTATAGGCTTAGGCCTATACTTACTTATCTTATTGAAGTCAAATTTTACAAAATTTCACAGTTAATTCATTAATTGATTGAAAGTAACAATCATCAAGGACCAAAACTGCAAAACAATTTAAAACTTTACTTTAAACAAGGTGTTTGAGATACATAATTAAATATTAGCCTAATAAATAAAAACAGCGACCATCTTTCCAAAAAGATTTAGAATGTAGAGTATTTGTATGTATATTGTGTTGACTTTGTTGTTTAATATACCTAGCTGTCTTGTTTAAAATAAGTAGGACAGTGGGCCACCTTCTTGTCTTTGATTTAAATTGAAATCAACGCTATGTAGATCTATGTATGAACATCCAAGACCTCAGAAACTTTTGGGAGGTCCAACATTTAAACCCTTTTGTCTGATTAACTAGTAAATTACAAGGGCATCCATATTCCTCATGCCTCATAGATCTAAATGACGTTGAACTTAAAATTAGGGAGAGGTAAAATATCTTTTTAAAAATATTTTTATAGAATAAAAACAATTATGAAGAACATAGGCTATTGGTTTTCATTAGAAACTGTGATTAAGGGTTGGGGTATAGTAGTAGAACTGCGATATATTAAATCATCATCTTGCTTTTAACTTTGAGTGACTATTGAGGGAGAGGGAAATCATCGGGAAAAGTATGCCGTCATTTAGGGGAGATCCATCTAAGCCTAGTTATTTGTCTGTAGACATTAGTCTTAGGCTAGGCATTTCATTTTCCGCTGTTTTGATTCTGTATGACCACATCCGAACTCTTTCATCGTACTTGTTTAAATTTGCCATTTTTTAACATGTTAATTCTCGCCATTGGAATCAAAGAATAAAATGTATTCGATATGAATATTTGAGTTGTATTTCATCTTTTATACATACTAATAAATGAATTAGCTCCCGTTTTACAATGTCCAGTACCGAAAGCAATCAACTATAATAGCAAATATTATTCGAAATGCTGACGCTACCGTGCTGGCGCATTGAAAACTAAATTTCAGATATAAATAATCATCTAAATTTCATGAAAATAGGTCTAAATAGCATGTCGATTTTAAGGGTTTTTAAGCACGGGGCAATGAGGAGTAGCGTGATAAAACTTGTAGGGTAGGAACAAGAAAGCATGCGTAATTTCATAATGACGGCTGATTTACGAGATATTAATAGATATGCGCATAATATGTTTTTTAATAGCTGTTTGTTTTTATATGGACTGTTACAATAAAATGAGCTTTAAAATAAATATACTGTAGATCTATATCTTAAATTATTAAATTAAAAATGGAAAGAATGTAATTAATTGCTGCCTAAATTATAAAATTTTAAATTAGCCAGATTTTTATTAACCTTCTTAATACCAGTAACTAGATCCTGCAAACTAGAATTAACGATTGCAGATAAATAGATTATAAAGGCATTTTCAAGTAGAAATAAATCTATATTTATTGCAAACAATTTAAAATAAAATAGAATTTAGATCTAAATGGAAATGAAAACTGGGTCTAGAGATTTGTAATATTAATATATAAAAAAAACTATTAGGCCTAAATGTAAATACTGACAGGCCTATCTAGACCTATAAAGGGTCTAAATTAATAAATGATAATGCCCAATTTTATAAGCTGCACTGCATAACAGTTTTAGTTAAATGCAACTATAATAGAAAGAAAACATGAACAGTTTCATTAATGTCATTTTAAGAATTTATCAAAGGACACATCAACTTCAGTAAACATTTTATTAATAAGAATACTGTGAAATGTCAATCTTTGAGTTTTAGCACATCTCAACACTTTTCATCAGAAACATTACAAGTACCAAAATTTTCTAAATTAATAATATTTTACCATGTCATACACTGACACAAATACAATGTTTATGGCAAATTGTTAAGTATCTTGATCATTATGCTATATTTGTAAGTTCTAACTCAATACATTACCTGTACAATATGTATACTAGCATTCTTATTACTTACACCAGAATCAATATGTAAAGTTTAATCTTTATTTTTATAGTGCAAAGAAGTACAATATATTAGCCTGTAGTTAATCACCATAGTCTAATTGCGCTGTACCATATTCAAGTTCACTATTTATACTTTTCCTCTAACTATGTTTATTTTACTTGCATGTTTGTATTTTTTACATTCTCTAGTCCTAATATTTAAAGTTTCATGATGGTATATGAAATAGCAACCTTGTTGTGCAGTCTGGAAATCTTATGGCAGTCACTATAGAACAGTGCTACACCCCTTAATTTTACTTCATTATTTCTAGTTATCTTATTTCTAATTTTTATTTTATTTGTAGACTTCTATTGTCTATATCATTGAGCACAAATGTGCAAAGTTTTATCATTATATCTTTAATAGCAACATTGGTATGCAAGTTTAAAGCCAATCACACATCTCAAATTCAGTGTACAATGAAACATAACAAGTTAAACACATAACTTTGAAAATTCATATACAAAAAACTATTCGGCCTAGAATGATAAATTTGGTATTTTTATCAATGGGGTATATTATAGAATTAATCTGTGTCCATTTTATCATTCTATGATAATTAGGAGAAATTTCCCAATATGCCTAGTCTTAGGCCTACACTTTTTCTGAGTACGGTTAATGTGTTTTTAAAATAGGTTTAATTAGTTACATTTGCATACTACATGGTTGTTGCATTTTTGCTTTGTTTGCTTCCTTCTTTCATCAGTTTCCGATTTTTTTGTTCAGCGGTCTATGTTTACCCATCCCCACCATCCATTATATTAACAACAAAAAACACCCATTCTATAATGAGATCTCCCTCTAAAAAAAACCCTAGATCAACCTAAAGTTTGTCGGAGAAATAGAATCTATTTCTTATTCGTCTGTTAAAAAAAGAAATACGTCATCTTTCTCAACACCTCCATTTCATAAGATGGCTGCTGTTTTTATTAGCAAATTTAGTATCTAGAACATCATTGTTAAATGTTAATTTCTGGAAATTTTTATTGATTTAACCCTTAACTGTGGTTTAATATTCAATTATCTTAAGTATTTTAGTACACTATGCAATAATATATTCATATTCATTAGTTACCCTATCCCTACACTACAACTATTACTAGCTCCAGCAGAATTAATTACTCTAAAATGATTAATACCTCTAATCTTTAACTAATAAATATACTAGACTAATTTAGTAATTAGATCTAGTTCTAGTAATTACCTAATTATTTTTAATATTACTGTCCTAATGCCAAATAGTGTAATACAATACTAAATTACTAATACTACAAATAATGAAATAACCCAAGATTCTTTAACCATACTAGATTAGATCTAGATCTAGAAAGATATTGATCTAATGTCTAATACTATAATAAAATGTCTATTAATTGATTTTTTTAATCATTTTATTTTAATGTAACCTTGAACGATATTAGTGACAAAGCAAAGAATTAGCTAAAAATCCGACACATTTAAAATAACATACGCTACCAATACCTATTAGAAAAATTAAAACTAAATTATATACATTATTAGTCAACACAACACCATATTAAATGCACACTCTGATTAGGAGACTTAAATGATTCCGTTAAAAATCCTGCTGTTCAATGGTCATTATGTTGTTTTTTATAGTAATTTGTATTCTTTTGACATAGAAAATTTTATATATTTCATAGTGTACGTCTTAATAAGTAGATTTATAGAATCTAGATCTAAATCAAATAGTTCATTTCTTCTTACTGTAAAATTGGAAGATGACACTTTTAGTGTTGTGTTCTTTCCGTAGTTTAAAGCAGCTGCGCCAGTTGAGTAGAGCAACAGTAACGTCTCCTAGCCTTCCTTGCACTACCTGTAAACAAATTAATAAATCCATATACACAAAACTTTTATGCATGCACATATATTAGTTCCCAGCCATACGAATAAAATAGCATTGAAAGTTTTTACAATTGTTGCATTATGGGAGCTGTTGATGATTTTTAAATCTTGAGGCTGCCATGTTTTTTGTTATCAATATAAATCCTGTTCACAACATTTGATTTCGTTAAAAAAAATTCATCTCTCCCCGGCTAAAAGGACTTGAATTTAAGTGAGAGAGAACAAGAACTTACAAGTTCTATTGTGTACAAATATTGTCTAAAAACTAAAAAACATTAAGTTCAAGTGCAAATTAGTGCCAAGCTGCCTGAAGAAATCAAATGTTTATAAAGCTGTTTATGACAGTTTAGAACTTAATTAAAATTAATTTTAAAACTTTTATTACAAAAGCAAATCAAGTTTAGATTTTGTTATTATTAATATCTTAGTATTTCTATTTTTAAAAAGAATTTTAAGAAACTGAAAGCTCAAGATATTAATCTGCAGTCCTGATTGCTTTGCATTACTGGTTGTCTATTTTAAAATTACATCTGACTAAGTAATCATTTGTAATCAGACAAGTCTCGCATGTGTTACAAATTTTGCCATGTTATTAGTAATAAGTTGTTTTGATTATTTAACCACCAGTTTAACATTTACATTTTTTTAATCATCAGTTCATATCTAAGAAGCTGTCCAGCATGGAGGTGGAAACAGATGTGTTAGCTGCAGTTTCATCTACTGTAGATATACAGTCAAATGAATTAACAGAGTTTTCATCTTCTGAAGATTTGAAACCAGATCTATCAACCATCGTATTATCATCTTCTGAAGACATAAAAACAGAATTATCAACATTTTTGAATTCCCAGGATATAAAACCTGACATGACATTTAAAACCACTCAAGATGTTAAACCTGATGTTACACCAGACTTTTCTTCTTCTGCTGACATCAAAACAGAATTATTGACATTTAATAATTTCCAGGATATAAAACCTAACATGTCATTTAACACTTTTCAAGATGTTAAACCTGATGTTAATTCAGAATTTTCTTCTTCTAATGACATAAAACCAGAATTATCATTTTTTAATGTTCAGGATATAAAACCTAACATGTCATTTAAAACTTCTCAAGATGTAAAAGCAGTATTTACAACATCTGAAAATTTAAAACCAGAATTATCACCTACTGAAAATTTAAAACAAGATTTCACAACAGAATTTTTATTTTTTGAGGATAAACAAGAAAATAGGCTTGAAGAAAATCTACAATTGTCTAGGGACAATGAAAATAAGATTGTTTATTATCATCACACTTTTTCTCTAAGTTCTATTATTAATATGAATAAATATGTTCATTCTGAAGATAAGCCATATGAATGTGATGTTTGTCATAAAAGGTTTTCTCAAAGTTCTTACTTAAATCAACATAAACAGATTCATTCAGTAGAAAAGGCACATGAATGTGATGTTTGTCATAAAATCTTTGCAGATAAGAATGGTCTATTGCGACATAAAATTGTTCATTCTCCATATGAATGTAATATTTGTCTGAAAAGATATTTATATAGTTCTAAGTTAAGAGAACATAGAAAAGTTCATTCAGGTTATAAACCCTATGAATGTGATGTTTGTCATAAATGGTTTTCTCAAAGTCATCATTTAAGAGAACATAAAATGGTTCATTCAGGAGAAAGGCCACATGAATGTGATGTTTGTCATAAAAGGTTTCTTAGAAATTCTGAACTAAAAATGCATAAAAATATTCATTCTGGAGAGAAACCATATGAATGTGATGTTTGTCATAAAAGATTTTCTACTAGTTCAAACTTAAGATCACATAACAAAGTTCATTCAGGAGATAAACCATATGAATGTGATGTTTGTCATAAATGGTTTTCTCAAAGTCATCATTTAAGAGAACATAAAATGGTTCATTCAGGAGAAAGGCCACATGAATGTGATGTTTGTCATAAAAGGTTTCTTAGAAATTCTGAACTAAAAATGCATAAAAATGTTCATTCTGGAGAAAGGCCATATGAATGTGATGTTTGTCATAAAAGATTTTCTCAAAGTTCTCATTTAAGAGAACATAAAAAAGTTCATTCAGGAGATAAACCATATGAATGTGATGTTTGTCATAAAAAGTTTTCTAGAAATTCTGAGTTAAAAATGCATAAAAATGTTCATTCTGGAGAAAAACCATATGAATGTGATGTTTGTCATAAAAGATTTTCTCAAAGTTCTCATTTAAGAGAACATAAAAAAGTTCATTCAGGAGATAAACCATATGAATGTGATGTTTGTCATAAAAAGTTTTCTAGAAATTCTGAGTTAAAAATGCATAAAAATGTTCATTCTGGAGAAAAACCATATGAATGTGATGTTTGTCATAAAAGGTTTTCTCAAAGTCCTAGTTTAAGTAAACACAAAAATGTTCATTCTGGAGATAAACCATATGAATGTGATGTTTGTCATAAAAAGTTTTCTAGAAATTCTGAATTAAAAATGCATAAAAATGTTCATTCTGGAGAAAAACCATATGAATGTGATGTTTGTCATAAAAGGTTTTCTCAAATTCCTAGTTTAAGTAAACACAAAAATGTTCATTCTGGAGATAAACCATATGAATGTGATGTTTGTCATAAAAGGTTTACTCGAAGTTCTAACTTAAGTAAACACAAAAATGTTCATTCAGGAGAAAAGGCGTATAATTGTGATGTTTGTCATAAAACCTTTGCAAATAAGAATAATCTATTACAGCATAAAAAAGTTCATTCATTAGAAAGGTCACATGAATGTGATGTTTATCATTAAAAATTTGTGGATATGAAGAATCTCTTACGACATAAAAAACTTCATTCAGGAGACAAACCTGTGAATTTGTCATAAAAGGTTTTCTAGAAATTCTGATAAGCCATATGAATGTGGTGTTTGTCTGAAAAGATTTTCAAATAGTTCTTATTTAAGAACACATAAAAAGGTTTATTCAGGAGATAAACCACATTAATGTGATGTTAAATAAAATGTTTTCTCAATATTCTAATTTAAAAACACATAATAAGATTCATTCAGGTGAAAGGTCACCTGAATCATGATGAATGTGATGTTTGTCATAAAAGGTTTTCTCAAAGTTCTAATTTAAGAACACATTAAAAAAATTCATTCAGATGAAAGGCCACATGATGAATCTGATGTTTGTCCTATAAAGTTTGCTTGTAAGTGTGATTTATTAACTGATAATTTTTTTCATTTGGGAAAAAATCCATATGAATTTGATGTTAATCCTAAATGATTTACTCAGAATAGTTTAAATACACATAAAAAACTTTTTTTGGCCATAAATGGTTTTCTCAACGTTTTTAATTAAGTGCACATGAAAACGTTCATTTATGAGACAAGCTATATGAAAGTGGTATTTCTCATAAAAGATTTTCTAAGTTGTAGTCTAAATGATGTTTTTCACAAACGATTTTCTCAAATTTAAATACTCTAAAAAATATGTAAGACAGGAATGTGATGTTGGTAAGGAAATATTTTCTTTTAAATTTACTTTATATAGTCAAAGAAATTCATCATGACTTAAAACCAATTTAAAGTCATTTTTTTATTATTATTATTATTAAATTTCTTATAATTTTTCTCTGCACATAACTTCTAATAGTGAGCCATAGTTAATAAATATTTGTGTTATAAAAAGGTTCTTTTGTCAAAGAGTATACCTCGTCCATTATTATACATACTCTAAAAAGAAATTGAACTCTGACTGTAAAAGGAAATAGCATCCTATTGTCAGTTTCATGTGTACATTTTTTTCTTTACGTATCCTACTTCTTTTTGTGTTATTTGTAAATATGTATGATAGGAAAAGTAAGCTATCACTTTCGAGACCCAGGTTTTTTTTTTATACCCGCATGGTTTTGTTCAGGCCACACAGTTAATTTGCCTATTGTTTTCAAATTTTATAAAATTGACAATGCACTTTTATTTGGACAAGGGAGTTTACCAATTCTGATCTAACCAATTACACATTAACAATAACAGAAGCTAACTAAAATAAACAGGCTGTTCAAGTTCAATGTATTATTTACATGTACTAGATGTTTACAATATATGTAGGCCCTACTGTTAAACAATTCTCTTTTACACTTCTCACAAACAGCTCAGTCAGACATACAGCAACATGACAGAATATCAGGTTGAGAGGTAAAACAACCTCCATTAGACAATTACAATGACATCAGGCCGGCAGTTACAGTGGCATCTGGCCAACAGGTAGCAGACAATATTTTTTTGTAAAAACTTTTTCATCCTTCGCTAAATGTCCTTAATCATTATATTGAGAGGTATAGAATCACAAATCCTATGACCAAACTCTACTGGCTGCAATGTATAACTCAAACAGACCATATTTTAAAACTTCCTCTCCCTCCCCACTATTTGCATGTCTTATGGAACTAACTCCAAGCTTCATGTTGCTCCAACCATTGCAAGGATTATGTTCACTTCCTTAATTTTGCTAAATGTTTTTTTTTTTATTTTATTTAAATGCAATTTTTACAAAAACAGCAAAAAAAATTTAAATTTGAAGAAAAGAAAGACTTACGCTGCAATTGTTACATTTTGGTATCTTAGTTTTAACATAATGTAATTTTTGACTAGTTGTTATTTAATTTTATATTCCTTACTATTACAAAATAGCCTTGTAATGTAAATTGTAATGTAGTGAATCATTAGAAATTGTAACATGAAAATTTTAAGAAATAAAATGGCTAATGTGTGTGTCAAATTTTATTATTATTGTTTTTCTAACAACACTTTCTGTATGTAAATTCCAAGGAGGCCAATCTGTTTTGAATGCTGGGGTGTATTTTACTCTCTTGTGATGCTCCAAAACCTGTACCTGCAAGTTAGGTAAGGTCAGTGTCAGATAACTTTTGCTTGTTAGGACTCCAGTTACAAAGGAAACATTTGACATTTTAAACACTTGTTTTACTATTTTTATCAATTACAAGTAAAAAAAAAATTATAAAAATGATTGACTTATGGATGTTCTGCAGTAGTGAGTCGTTTTCTCAAAAAAATGGTTTTGCCATAAACTTCTATAGCCCAACTGCACATGAAGTGCACAATCTGTGTTCAGATAACACTAGCGATTTTTATCTATAGTCGGTTATACATTCAGCTGGATGTAGCATGTTTTCTCTATCATTAGCAGGTTTACGTCATTGTGTCACCCCCCCCTCCCCACCCCCTCTGCGCCCTTGTCGGGATTGGTCAATTTTCCTCTTAAAAGACTATTTAACTCACTCTAATTATTTAAGTGGAATTATCATTTTTCTGTATACATTTTGCCCTTTTTTCTTGGTGTCACTCCCCTAAATGGGGTCACCCGGTGTGGTCCGCATTTAGAAACAGCCTGTATTATCCTGACTGAGCAATGGAGATAACTCATTTGTAAGTTTGTCCTTGTCCAAGTTATTTAATCTTAGTATTGTGAAAATTGTTGGTTCATTTAACAACCCAGCTAAAAGCATGCCACATACATAATGATGAAATAGAAATTGATTGCAACACACAACAACTCAAAAAGAATCTAAAAATTATCACATTTTATTGCTGTGACAAAAAAAATATTTATGTAAGAAATTAACAATAACTAAAAAATAACAAACAGGGAAAAATAATGATATTCAAAACTATCAGATTATTCATAATACTGGTTTATTAGTTGACAACTTAAAATACAATACACATTTTCGGTAATGAAAAATGATTATTAATGGAGAAATATAATGCTTTTCAAATTTCATGTGACATTTTATAAAAAAAAAAAGGTAAATATATATAAATGTATAATAAGTTTTATTAATAATTCTTAATAAAAATACTTCTAATACTATCCGTAACACTGCAGATTAACTTGAGTTTCTACACACATTTTTAATATAATTTTTAAAAGTGAAGGCTTAAATCCTCATTAAAAAAGTGCATCAAGTTAGTTGAAAAATTACACTATTACTATTACAGTATCAGCAATATGAAAAAAATTAGTAAGGAAAAGCAGAAATACTTTTGTTTTCATCATGTTTTTTTTCTGTTTAAATTAACAATACACAATGCATATGTAAATGTGCATAAAGACCTAATTCTCATCTTAGTTACATGTAGTAATTAAGTACAATATTGTGTTGGATATGACTAGTGATAAAAGAAACACATATTTGAACTAAGGTACAGTATACACTTTAAAATCTAACAGTTTAAGCACAAGTTTGATAAATACTAACATAGATAAATAAAAATGGGGTTTAAGTCTTGATAGCTTAACTGAGCTTGCTTTAAGTGAATCATTAGACTCGATGGCAGTTTATGGAAGTGTGATAGGTGAAAATTTTTTTCATATACGTTTTTTTTAAACTACATATTATATAAAGTTGCAAAGGTGTATGGACAAACTGATGTGATGACAGGGGTACTGACTATCAAAAACTTTTATGTAAATTTTCCTGTTTCAGGATATGATTTATCTTACAGTGTGGCTTCATGGAAGATCAAGGACATGTTATGTAATTGCATTTCTCGCATTTATAAATTAATTCTCCATTTGCCATTTAATATGATCATTTAGATAACATTTATCTTATCTACATAAAATAGCTCACAAATGTTCACTTTTAAAAGCTTTTGCATAAAATATGTCTTTAATGTAGATTCTTCTCCACTTTTAAAACTTTTACCAATGACAACATATGTAACATTTTGGAATTCTATGCACAATTTTATAATAAGTGCAGCGTGTGATAAGGCTTTGATCTTTAAAAATATTTTTTTTGGAAATAACACAATAAATTCTCTGATGAAGTTTGCCTAGAACAAACAATGCAAAAACATTAGGATACTAAATAAAAGCTTAATAGTTTGAAAAAGAAATTTAAAAGTAGCAATGCGGTGACTTAAAATTAAAAACTAATAATAGCTTTATTGAACAAGTGCATTCTGAAACAAATGGGAAAAAAGATAATGTTCTTAATATTATGTTAGCTTTTTCTGCATTGAAGTAGAACTCTAATCATGACCATTAAGATGATAAGAAAATCCCCATATTAATTTTCTTTTTATGATTTACAATACATATACAAAAACTGAAAAATCTTTTTGAATTTAAATCCTCTTTAGGTATAGAAAAATATATTAAGATGTCTAAAAATAACAATATAAAAGCTTGTATCAGGCACATAAAATTGTAAGTCTAGTATTTGTTTTTTTTTAAATGTGGAATAGTTACATCACTAACATTTATTTAGTAAAATTGTGCTTTATGTCATTGCAGAATGTAACTTTTTTAAACTGAATCATTAGGCTAAATGAATTTTTTGCTTGTGGCGGATTAAGATAATACATTGTGTGAATCTCTTATCATATAAATTACAACATTATGGCTTTTCACCAGAATGAGTTCTTGTGTGATGAACAAAAGCAGTTTGACAAAATGCTGCATAGTCACAAACTTGACATTTGTTTGGTCAAGTGTTTGAATGTATTCTTGTGTGTTCTCTTAACCCAGTTTGTTGGTTTGTTGCATAGTTGCAGTTTTTACAATTGTAATTTAATTCTCCAGTGTGCCTCCTTATATGAATCTTTAAATAACTTTTATTAGCAAATATTTTTTGTACATATTTCACATTTAAAAGTTTTTTTTCTGAAATGTGTTACTAATTGTAGATCATATTCTTCTGCACCAATAAAACCTTTATCGCAGTGACAACATATGTAGCACTTAATTATAGTATGGATAACTTTATGTCTTATGAGAAGAATAATGTGAATAAGATTCAAAGGATTTTTGACAAACATCACACACAAATGTCTCAGCTGAAAGCTCGATCACTCTCTGTTTACCATTATGATATAGTTGACAAGTTTTGCAATTCTCCAGAGCACAACTTGAAAGGGAAACTAAATATGTTTTTTGCCAGTTCAATTAATTAGAGTTTATCCACATACATTAAACTGACTATAAATAAACCTCTTTACTATTAACTGTACACAGTGGTGTTGCCAGGTTGGGCGTCAACTGATGCGGCGTTTCGTGATGTCAACCTCCCCACCCTAAAGAAATGTGTCACTGACACCACCTTATAATGTCAATTTGTACTAAGGGGTCATCCATAAATGACGTCACACTCGTACGGGGGAGGGGGGGTCCGTAATGTTGTGACGATGTGTGATGAGGTGGAGGAGGGGGGGGGGGGGGGTTCAGGTGTTGTGACGTCACATTTTTGCATTATAAAAAAGCAATGTTAGAAAACGAATTTTTTTAGATGTAATTTCGCATTTTAGATAACTGTTTTAATAAATTGTAATAGTTTAGACAGAATTTTAGAAGAATATCGATGTTTTAAAAAAATTCAACTGTAATTTTGAAGGGGGTTGTAGGTTGAGGTGTGACGTCATTTTAGGGGGGGTCTGGCTTTTTGTGACGAGTGTGACAGAGGGGAGAGGTAAAAATTGTCAAAAAAAAGCGTGACGTCATTTACGGATGACCCCTTAAAAGACTATTTAACTTTAATTAATGATTAATGGAACTGGTAAAAGCGCATTTTTCATCTGTACATTTTGCAATTTTTTGCCTTGATGTATAAGCTATAAGCAACTCGGAGGGGGGTGACACCAATTATAGGCCTATAATGTAGACCTTGTAAATTTTATATATATATATATATATATATATATATATATATATATATATATATATATATATATATATATATATATATATACTTTCGTATATATAAAATATACATAGATATAGATACAGGTACTGGTATAGATTTAGATGTAGATATAGATATATTTCTTGGGGTGACGCACCGTGTGGCACCACTGGGTACACATGCCCTTTTACTACAAATGATGTGTTTGACTTTGGATTACATTATTTTAATGGGAAAAAAAACATTTCCTCTTCTGCACTGCAGAAAAGTGATATAGTACTTAACATGCATTGTGATGAATTCAACCGAGAAAAGTGTTTGTTCTTTAAGTAAAGTTTACAGTTTGCTGACACCCCCATCCACGTAGGGTGATAGCTATTTTTAACCACAAAAAAAAGCTATTTACAACCTTATCAGTCGATGTCAAGTCCCACATTTTATGTGAGATGGCGTCAAAGTAAACAAATAAAAAAGTATGTGTGTTATGAAACTATGAAACCAAGTGGATGTCCATTGGTTCATTTGAATTTAACTTAAATACGGTTAGTTTATTTAACAAAACAACATGACACATACAACAACAAAAATGCAGCCCAACACCAACAATATTAGAAATGAATCTCAACAATGTTTTACTACTGAGAAAAAAAAATTATGTCAAAATTTATAAACATAATAACTTTAAAGAATCCAACAGGTAAATAAAAATTAAAAAAAAACAAAAATAGGTCTATTTAAATTTAATTGACAATTTAAAACCAAATTAATGTACATTTTAAAAACAGAAAATTAAAAAAAAAGTTGTGTACTGATTAGCTCTTTAGAAGCAAAGAGGAGAATTTGGTTAAGATAGTGTTAAAACACTGCTAATTGTGACATCACCTCTACTAGGACAAAGCCCAGTACAAAACATTAAGAACTTAATTGTGCAAAATATTGATGCTTCTTAAAATTGATAGAACTTGTGGTAATTTAAATAAAGTTTGATAATTTACATGAACTAAAAATAAAATAAGTAAAATAATATTAAAAGTTACAAAAAAGGCAAATGTAACAGTCATAATTCAAAATCAAACTCACTACTATCAAATAGCTGTATTGGTTTGATTACCAAGATACATAAATAAAACATAAATAAATCTGGCAGTCGAATGTCAGATTCCTGTGACTGAATCAATAGACTAGATCAGGGGTCTCCAAACTTTTCAGTACGAGGGCCGCATAAACTATCAAATTTCAGTTAGGGGGCCAGTTTCTTCCAGGCATGTCTTTGATTTTTCTGGGCAAAGTTCCTCAGCCATCACCAACAAACGTTTTTTCCTAGGACAAAAAGATCACCGCGGGCCGGATGAGGAGACCCCTGGACTAGATGAACATGTTGCATGTGGTAGGTTAAGGATTGTCACTGGCTGTATAGCTTATTACATAGGTAGCAATAAAATGGCTTTTAACCAGCGTGAGTCCCAAAATTATTTTGTACAGGACTTATAGAAGATGTTAATTAGTGATAAGCATTGCATGTGTGAGGCTATGTGTTCTTGTAGATTTGCTGGTGGACATAGAATGTAGATTTTTTAAATTGTGTATTCACATTTTCATCACATATTATAAGTATATTCCTGGTGTGTGTGTGCTTGTGTGAAGTCTTAGTTTATCTCTCCAAGTAGAACATTTTTTACATAATGAATATTTTAAAGGATTTTGCTATTAACATGTTTATGCTAAGTGTATTAAATATCATAATCATCAGCTAAATTAAAATCTCTATTACAATAACTATATATAAAGTTGCACAGGTTGATAAGATGACATAAAGAATCAAGTGTGAAATTTTCAACACTATTTATCTGGTTATGGGTTTGAATAAATTCTAAGGTGTCACCTGAACAGATATCAATGAAATGTTACATAACTGCAGATATTTCATAAGAACTGTTAATTAACAAGTTTATTTCCTTATGTGTCTAATAAATGTCAATGGTTATCATAAGGAATAGAAAAGCTTTATCATATGATAAAGAAAAGAACATAAAAGCCTAAACTGTAACTACTAGAGATTATGCTACAACAGATAACAAAAATAAAAGTGTTGCTATTTGAAGTCCATTTCTGCTTTATTACATTGTTTAATTTAAATATTTTCAGAAATATTTCTAACATCAAAGGTGTTTACACAAATCAAATTACTAGTTAAATAAGAATTCAGGTAAGCTTCAAATAGAAAGAAGATAACACAGGCTTCCAATAAATAACACACTACATTTCTTGATATATGACAAGCAGATATAAAAAAAACTTTTAAAAGTTAAAAACAAACCTTGCAGTATGATGGTATTGAAAGAGATACAAGCCCGCTGTTGGAAATAGCTGTAACTTGAGCAACTTAAACACTTTACCCCCCCCTCATCTAACTGTGAGTGGGTGTAAACAGAATGAGAGGCATGCAAAAAAAACACCAGTGTTTTTACTACAATAGTCAATATAAAAAAAATTAAATTGCAGCATAGATTTTAGTTTGTTCAGTCACAGCAGTTTTATCCTAAGCATAGTGTGTCTTCAGTGGAATCATTAAACTAGATGCATAATTTGTTTGTGTGAGAGTAAGGTTACACGTAGACTAAATCGTTTATCACATAGGTTGCAACAAAATGGCTTCTCACCAGAGTGAGTCCTTAAATGATTTACTAGAGTACCTCTAGAAGCTGTTGAATAGTCACAAACATTGCATTTATGAGGCTTTGTGTACATGTGAACTCTCCTGTGAACTAAGAAAGGATTTCTTTCATTTGTTGTGTACTCACATTTATCACACTTATACAATAAATCCCTGGTATGAATGTTTGTGTGAACTCTTAAACTATCTTTGCTGACATAAGCTTTCTCACACAATGTACATTTAAATGGTTTGTGTCTGAAGTGTTTATTTATGAGATGCAGTTCATATTCATCTGCTAAGTTAAAACCTCTGTCACAAAGACTACATATATAAAGCTGTAAAGGTGTATGTACCAGTTGATGGGACAACAATTGGGCTGAAGAAACAAAGCTTTTCTGGCAAATATCACAAGTTTGTACATTTTCAACACCATTGAAAGTTTAGATGAATCTTTTGATGTTGTTTTAGCCGACACAGATAAGGTGACGTGTAATTGCATTTCTCACATTTGTGAATTGATTTTCCATTATGCAATCTAATGTGAGCTTTTAGGTATTGTTTATCTGCATAGCATTTTTCACAAATTTCACATTTAAAAGGTTTTTGCCTAAAATGTATAATTAAATGTAGATCATATTCTTCTCCAATGTTAAAGCTTCTACCACAGTGGCAGCAGACGTAACATTGCATTGGAGTGTGTACAATTTTATGAGAAGCCAAATGAGATAGGGACTTAAAACTTTTTTGGCAAATGTCACACACAGAAATCTCAGTTGGAGGATCACTGCCTCTCTGTTTATCATTATGGTATAGTTGACAAGTTGTACAATTCTCTAGAGCACATTCACATTTTTGCCCTGGTAAATTTTGTAACTTTTGAGGTGCAGCTGTTTTATTTTCATGATTTAACTGCAATTTGTCACATGTTTTGAATTTATTGTGGTAAAGCTCAGCTGTCATTTCATTAGTTGATAATACATTTTCTTTCTCCTTCAGTATTGAGCACTTGACTTCTACATTTCCACAATTTGAAGAAGTTAATCTGTAACCTGTTGGGAATTTACATGAAGATAACACTGTTTTCTTTTTGAAGTTTATCTTGTGTAAATCAGCAGCAATGTTTTCTTTATACAAAACCACATGAACTTTGGTGTGATGTTTTTTCAGCTTACTCCATTTCCTGGTGGTATAAGCACAGAACTCACACGCCATCTGATTGTTTGGATGAAATTCCTTTTTATGTGTAGCAAACAATGGCTCCTCTTTAACTATAAAATCACAAAAACAACAGCCTATGGCTTGCATTTCTGTGTGCTTTTTATTCCAATGTTTTCGTAATCTTTCAAAAGATGAAAATGTTCTTAAACAGATGTCACAGTGACATACTTGCTCTGTCATTTTCTTTTGTCCTATAATGCTTGAGTTATTAAATTAATCAGAGGTCTCCACTTGATCAAACATTTAGAGCTGAAAGATAAATATTTGATACTCTTTAATTATTCTAAATTTAAAATGTAATTAAAAATCTTGTAATGACAGAAAATGTTTCTTACAACTAAGGTTATTCTAAAAATTAAATGAGAAATATTTTTTAATTTTTTATGTGAGCCATGCGGGAAAACAAATAAAATTGTAACTAGATCTATAACCAATAAGTAGGCATTTTGGTAAAAATGTTTCTATTTAACACAGAATGATAAAATTTACAAAGAATCAAGAAGAGAATCTGCCATTTAATAAACTACAAAAATTATCATTCTAGACCCAGTAGTTTTTTTTAAATGAATTTTTAAATTGTTAGGTAAAACAGCTTATATGTTCATGTAAAGTGGCAAAATATTTAGTGTCCTTCTTTGGGTTTGTATAACATTGTTGTTATTAAACATATAATGTTAAAATTTTGCATATTGATGCTAGAGAGTGTAGATGATAGGAATATGCAAGTGAAATACAGCTCATTTAAAAGGAAAACAACTAATAATTAATATAAAGCCCAATGGACACCAGCGAGAAAAGTCTCAAAGGTATTTGAGAGGTGTATAAATTCATTTAAAAATCATGCACAGCGTAGTTACAATTAATATGGTTATAAAATCCTGTCTGTCTGGTTTTTTTCGGACTTTACTAAAGATTGGATGTATTTGATGTTTATAATATTTTCGGTAACTAAATAAAAATTAAAAAAAAAGCAAAAACAATTTGGTTTTCACGTGTAATGGCGACATAAACAATGGCATCCTGCTATTGGATAGGCCGTCATAGATTTTATTGTACACATTGTAAGCTAAAAATAGAAAACTATGTCATGGGGTTTTAAATTTGCATTGTTATTTAAAAACTTGATCTGCAAAGTTTTGTAAACAAATAGTTATCGATCACTAAGTTACTGTACAGCCAATCAATATTTGTCTTACGAAGGTGAAACATCCGGTTTAACTTAGGCTTGATGAAAATAAATAGAAATGTAGCCTTAAACTCAACAAATTATTTTCAAGTTCTCTGGATTTGCAACTTTTATAGCATTTATTCTAAAAATATAAAATTTCTAAATTAATTTTAGGCTTAAGTTTTTATTTTTTATTTTTTTTTACGGTCTAAATCTAAAAAGCACGTTTTTATTCCATGTCAACAACATTATGGAAGGAATCTCGTCAACTCGCTCGCCTCCATTAAGGCGTGCGGTGCCGTTCTACAATGATTGCCACAAGTCACTTTTCATACAGAATATCAAGATCTATGTTGTTATTGATGATACAAAGATAAAACTTATCACATAGAATCTAGATGCTTAAGGATGTTGGGAATAGAAATTTACAAGTCAAAAAAATGCTAGAAATCACATATAATATATAATATGTGGCCAGATTAAACAAAATGGCGGACATCGAAATGCCTACCAATAACCCTAGTCACTAGTCTAAGACTAAGGTTTCTTTAGTATTCTTCAGACGAGTTCAGACAGTGCAAGACAGTCTAGCTGTCTAGCTCTTGTCTAATTTTTAAAATAGGCTTCATCACTAATCTAGACTTTAAGTAGTTACTTAAATTATTAAAAAGAGGCTTAATGTAAGTCGTAAATAATGGTTAGGCCCAAATTAATAATACTATTAATGCTATACAAATACATACACTGTATGAATATGATACAGCAGTGTTTGCGAGCAAGATTTGCTATATAAACAGCGGCCATGTGTAAGTTAGAGTGGTTTCCCCTGGATCTCTAGGGTATTGGGAAATTGCGATAAGCGAAATGGCGAGGCGGTAAACTGCGAGAAGATAATGCGAGACATACCTGCGGAATCACGGGTAATTAGCGAGACACTTTTTGCGAAAAAAAGTTTTGTTTCATGCTTATTTATTTTAATTATTTTTTTAAAAAACTAAACAAGCATAAGCGTATAATCATACCCTTTAACACAAGTGTTGTATGTTGTTATTTTACTTTCTCGTATATACGAAGTATAAAGAAAGTCTTGTAATCGTGCAAAAAAAAAATCGAGATTTTTACAAATCTCGACGTTTTACACCTCACTGATACGGAAAAACATAATTTTGCAATCTTGTCCGTATGTCTGTGTGTGTCACTGTCTGTGTGTCTGTCTGTGTTTAGACACGATAACTTGAGTACCGTTACAGCTAGGTTGATGAAGTTTGTCCCCGGACGCCGGGAGGCGTCGCTACGCCTCTGTGTTGTATATAAGAATATTCGAGCAAGTTTAGGGGAGATCACTCCCAGTTTATTTATCCAGTTTTCATTATTATATATAGATAGAAAGATAGATACTAAGATATATATATATATATATATATATAGATCTATCTATTAAAAATCCTAACATACTTGCTGTGCTACTGTCATCACCCGCTCTCGTTTTCTCGTTAGCGAGAGGAAAATCCCGTCTCAGTCGATATTATTTTTAAAAATCTATTTTGCGCGTGTTCATTATGAATTGGTATTCCTCGTCTGCTCCCCCTGTCTTTATTGATCACGCTTCCCAGATATGTGAATGTGTTTGTTTCACGTAAATCTTTTCCATTTAGCTGTATGGGCAGGTCCTGGCTGTTATTGATTCTGATGACTTCTGTTTTATTTTTATTGATTTTTAGTCCAACTTTGGAGGCTTCTTCAGATAGCCGATTTAGTTTGGCTTGCGTATGTTGATGCTTGTGAGATAGTAGGCAGATGTCATCGACAAAATCAAGATCCTCCAGCCTTTTGGTGAAACTCCACTGGATTCCTGTGTCGTTTTTTTGTGGTTTTCAGCGTGATCCAGTCGATTACCATCAAAACACTTAATTTGGGGGGAATTTTGGGGCATTAAAACTAGTGTTTTTAATGGACCCACAATTTGAAAATTCATAAAAAATTAGTTTGAAGATATGCACTTAAAGTTTTTAGCTGAGTGCCCCAAAATATGGAAGAAGATTATGAATTAATTGTTTATTGGGCTTAAAATATAATATTTTATGAATGGTCATAGTTACCAAGATTTTTTTCACCAATTGTTTTTAGTGGAAATGCATATGCGGATGTATCTTAATAACGCTGTAAAGAAAAAAAAACTGTTTTCAAACGAGTATTATTTTTTTTTTTACCGGAGCCTTCCCCCTTAAAATCTCATCAAAGTACTGTAGGCCTACCTATCGGTCTCTCTGTTCTGTGTCAATTGTTAAGATATTTCCTAATTTATCCTTTACTAGTTTGTTGGGATTAATGTTCTTACCTGATAGTGTCCTGGTTACTTCATAGAGCCTCTTCATTTTTCCTTGTCGTGCTGCAGTTTCTGCCTCCGCTATCATCTCTTGTATGAACTGTCTTTTGTCTTCTTTTGCACTTTTCCTGACCATGCGATTTACTTCACAATAATGTGTTCTGAGGTTTATTTTCTCTTTTTCATCCTTACATTTGTTAATCTTTTGCTTTATCTCTTTTCTATCTTCAATTTTGGCCCATGTCTCTGTTATGATCCATTCTTTTTGTTCATTTTTTACTTCTTCCCAATCTGTCAGTGCATGTCGACTTCCATAGTTCCATTATTCCTAGCCATTTTCGCTCTACTGTTTCTTCTGGAGAGTGCTTCATGCCTATTTTTTTACTGCGAAGTTAAAGTCTTCCTTTATTTTTGGACTCCTAAGATATGTTGTATTGAATTCAAAGTGCGGTTTATGAGCTCGATCCCTGTAGGATTTTAGTTTTGATTTTAGTGTTGCAACCACGAGTTGGTGATCTGAGGCTGCATCTGCACCTTGTTTCGCCCTAACATCCATTAAACTTCTTCTCCACTTTCTGGAAACTGTTGTGATCAATTTGGTTCTTTGTTTTGCCATCGGGTGACGTCCAGGTGGTCTTATGTATATCTTTATGAGAGAAAATTGTCCCCCCTATAATTAGATCATTAAATGCGCAGAAATCAGAAAAGAGTTCCCCGTTTTCATTTATTATGCCTATTCCATTTTCCCCCCATTGTGAGCTCACGATCTTTATTTTCTGTTTCAACTTTGGCATTCATGTCTCCCATCACTATCTTTATATCTCTTTTGGTGATTTGTCAATTTGAGTTTGCAGGGCGCTGTAAAAGTGCATAGCACTGGATTAAAGTTGTTTTCCTTCCCTTGGCATTGAAACGAGCTGCTATGAGTCGTGGCGGGACTGGTTCCCATGCAATCAAAGCATTTGTTGCTTCTGGAGACATCATTATGGCTACACCTTGCGTGTGTTCATGATGTTCGTTCTCGTGGCCTAAGTAGACGACAGTCTCTCCCGAGACCAACCTAGTTTGGCCACTGCCATTCCATCGTGTCTCACTTAATCCTAGGACTTTTAATTTATACCTCATCATTTCTTTGGCGACCTGGGCTGATCTGCTGCTTTCATATAGGGTTCTGATGTTCCAGTTCCCTAATCTGGTTTTAGTCTTGGGCGTTAGGAGATTCGTCAGCAAAATTGCGACATTAGTTAAACAATTGGGTAGAGAGAATCAGTCAGTAACTATTTCCCGTCTTGTAACATTTTCTCAGGTCTTGTCAGCAAGTTAAACGTTAAGACAACAAGACGTCGGTAGACCAGAATACAGTGATACATAGCTCTACCTGGCGGGCACTTCTTGCACCTGTGACCATATTTTATAGCAACATGTAACGTCAATCGGTCAGATGAGGCTCGACAGCTGGCGACAGCCACTCTTCTGGGAGAGACAACTCCAAAAGCAAACAACTGCTGCCTTGTAGTTTTTTCTTGGTTGGACAAAGGCTATGGAGGCAAACCCAAAAAGAAAAGCTGGCTGAAATAGAATCAACTGCCTCAATGGCGCATAACCAGGTGGAGGGGATCCCTTCCCACACTAAAATTAAGAACGAAGAGGAAGAAGAACATAGCAGACACAAATAAAATAATTCGTTAACTGCAGTTATGCTATATATAGCACAGTATAATTAAGTTTATCTCTGTAGATCACAGTAGATCATAGTAGCTCACAGTAGATCACAGTAGATCACTGTAGATCACAGGAGATCACAGTAGATCACAGTAGATGCCAGTAGATCACAGTATAGCAATGAGTAGATCCCAAACTACATGTAACAAGGGTAGATGTGATGCGGTATTTTTAGTAATGCAGTCAACAGTCTAGTGGTCGTGTCGTCATGGGATTTAATTATCTGGAGTAAGATGTTGCAAATCCAGAAGACAGTGTCCTGATGAAGTTGTTTCAGCCCGTCTAAAGGCGGCTAGTGCGGTGGTGTTCGGGTAAAACAGTATGGTGATTGCAGGTTGTGATAGAGCTGCGCGATAATAAAGTTTATTGTGGGAAACATTGTTTAATTTATGGACGACAAACTTGCCTTTATTTTAAAATAATCGTAGTAGTAATAAAAAGACATATTCTTCACACCATGGAATGCCAATGTTAACTGGCGACATATTTTTACAACTGAAATAATTTAGTATAGGTCTGGCCGATTTCTTCTAAAATACAATCAGTTAGCTTTAATCTTTTGCAATAACAATTTAATAGACCTATTTATACTATTGTTATTTGTACTCATAGGGTATGTCTTAAATGTGACTTTTATTTTATTTTGTCAAATTTGTTTCTAGATTTGGTAAATTAAACCAAAAGTAACTTCCTGCATACAATATGTAATGCACAATCATGCTTTGGAAATACGTTTAATACGCTGCACTACCGAAATTAAAAATTTCACTAATGTAGTAGCTAATATAATTACACAGTTATCGATCTCAAATATAGCTAATTTTTATTTAAAATAAACGTAACTCATTAAATGTAAAGTTGATCTAAAAGTAATCAGCCTAATTAAAGCATTAAAGCTCAACTTTCTTAGCTAACCGGAATATAATAATCCTTACACTAACTAAAACATAAAAAAGCATTTACAAATTATTGATTACAAATCTTAGCATCTTTCTTATTCAAGACGATTAACATTATGTTTTTTATCAAATAATTGGGTTGTAGTTAGCGTTACATTGCCTAGCAGAAACAGTAAAATAAAAAAGTTTGAAATTCGGGAGTAGATTGATACCCATCAGGATATTGTGTGAGGAGCGAATACACATTCTCTTCATTCCTATCCCCTGCTCATAGAAGAAGAAATCAATAGGAATATGTAGTTTCATATTTATGCTCCCTGAATTAATGATAGGCTGTCTACTGCCTTGATATAAGTCGTCATATAGGTGGCTCATGAGAAATCTCACCCGATAAACACGCATGTTTGTTTCGAGTATTTTATTCCAACATGCACCATCAAACATTTTATAGGAACATGTAACATCAAATATTTTATAGCAACATGTTATATAAAATATTTTATAGCAATTTGTAACAGCAAATATTTTTTACGAACATGTAATATCAAATATTTTATTGAAACATGTTACATCAAATATTTTATAGCAATATTTAATATCAAATATTGTATACCACCATGTAAGTTTGAATAATGTATTTCATTATGTAAGATCGAGTTTGTTATAGTTGAGACACACGTAGCAAGATCTCACAAGCTGCCTAAGACACCTGTGTGTCAGTATCACCGATATGTGACAGCCAACGGTAGATAAGATATTTTTACTTACATACATTGATGACAGGCAGATCAACTGATTGATGTTAGAGCTAGTTTTAAGCAAGACAAAGACAAAGCAATTCTAGAAACACAGAGGTGATGAGCATCACACGACTCTTCCATGGTCAGACTACTAAAATACAAGACACTTCAATAGTCAGACTACTAAAATACAAGACACTTCCATGGTCAGACTACTAAAATACAAGACACTTGAATAGTCAGACTACTAAAATACAAGACACATAATATTTTATAATATTTTTATAGTTTAGACAACAATTTGATAAACTAGATACAAACTGCCCCAGTACCTTTCCGCTTGATTGCCAGATAATTAAGACGGGAGGTTTATGACTGAGGGAGTTGTTCTGTACAGTAACGATACGATAATTTACTGTAACCTGTGGGACCTCGGGCTATGTTTTACTGTGTTATCTAAACGCAGGATTTTGGTGGAAAATTTGGGATGTCGATTTCAAGAAATTACAATAGAATTCAGTGATGTTAATGATTTCAAGAAATGACTGGAGAATTGGGAGATGATACACAATGATAACATGGGCAGGGCAAATCAATATACAGAGATCATGTGACTAGACGTGAATACAAAGAAAAATGTAATGACGTCACCTGAAGATATTGACTAACGTTGTGATCAATCTGTTTCTAAGCTCAAAGTTTAAAAAGTCAATCGGAACCTTTGGTAGTTACCTTAGGCTAGTGTCGTGTGGTGTAAAGCTAGTGTATGTAACGTGTCACTCATCTCAGCGTAAAAACAGCCAATTGGAACCTTTGGTAGTTACCTTAGGCTGGTGTCGTGTGGTGTAAAGCTAGTGTATGCAACGTGTCACTCATCTCAGCGGTAAAAAAAGTCTGTCACGTAGCTACCTTATGCTGGTGATGTACGGTGTACCGCCAGCGACAGTATCCATCAGATCTTGTTGTCAGCGCTTAATGCGTGTGGTGTTGTTAATATATCAACATCAGCTGTATGCACCCTATGTACATGACACGCACTTACAATATTATCACGATATCATACACGCCTATGTTTATATCTTGGTAATCCACTGACAACGCGTATGATTGTGTTGGAGGTAAAATAAAATATCCTCAGTGTTCTATACATAGACAGGCTATCTAGTAGACTGTAACATAAAACATAATAGAGTCACATACGATTTGATTCTGTTAAGCCATATGTAGCATCACTAGTCACTGAACCAATTAAATAGTTTAAAGTGTGTGGTTAGAGAGTAGACAAGATGTAAAGTGTATCTTGTGAACTGGTCGACAAATAAACATTTTAAATGTTTATAGAGGCCCCAATTACCAATACTGTTAAATCACTACGCTTGAAACCAAAAGTAAAAAATTGGCCTGCTGAAATTGTATGTTGAATTTAATCAACAGCCATATTCGGTTGATTTTTTTCCCACAAACCATCGATTCGTTAGTGTAAGCCCTGCAAGGGGGGATACCTAAAATCCTTCTAAACTGTCCGGGTCAGTGCAACCGTGGTGAAACCCACGGTGGTATATCTTATCCTTAGTCTAAATAAAAAAAAACTACTAAAATAAGACAAAAACTTTACAGTTAATAAAATTTATTTATCAAAAATAAGGAACCAATGGAAAAATCACAGAAAAAGAATAGATAAAAACTGACACAAAACAGACAAAACAAAACCAAACAAAACACCCAATTTCGGACTTCGTCCAGGTCTATGACGAACACAAACTAAATACGGCTGGATGGTGTGAATTTGCTGTTCTTTACAATCGATGACCAGAGAGTCTTCCTGCTCTCTTCATCGCTGCTTTCCACACACCCAAAGACAGACTCGAATCCAGCCGGAAATCGACTTCCACACACCTCACACACTACACGTAAACAAATAGTCCCTAAT